AGCAAAAAGAAAAAAGAATCCAGAAATATGAAAATAGTATAAGGAGCCTCTGGGACAACTTCAAGAGGCCCAACATTCGTATTATTGGGGTGCCAGAAGGGGAAGAAAGAGACCAAGAAATTGAAAACCTATTTGAAAAAATAATGACAGAAAACTTCCCCTACCTGGGGAAAGAAATAGACTTACAAGTCCAGGAAGCACAGAGGGTCCCAAACAAGAGGAACCCAAAGAGGCCCACAGCAAGACACATCATAATTAAAATGCCAAAGGTTAAAGACAAAGAGAGAATCTTAAAAGCAGCAAGAGAAAAGCAGTTAGTTACTACAAGGGAGCCCCCATAAGACTGTCAGCTGATTTCTCAACAGAAACCCTGTAGGACAAAAGGAAGCGGCAAGAAATATTCCAAGTGATGAAAAACATGGAACTACAACCAAGATTGCTCTACCCAGCAAAGCTATCTCTTAGAACTGAAGGTCAGATAAAGAGCTTCTCAGACAAGGAAAAGCTAAAGGAGTTCATCACCACCAGACCAGCTCTACAGGAAAAGTTGAAGGGTCTTCTTTAAGAAGAAGCTAATGAACAAAAGAATCTGACCAGCTAAATAGATCCAGAGACATTGACGGAGGCAACAGACGATCATATCTCAGAGGGAAGAGGGAAGGGGGGTGGAGGATGGGAAGAGATTAACCAAAGAAGTTACATGTATAACCCATGGACACAGTTAATAACAGGGTGAAGGCCTGGGGACAGTGTGGGAGCGAGGTGGAGGGGGTCAATTGGGGGGGAAAAACAGGACACCTGTAATACTCTCAACAGTAAAGATAAATAAAAAATTTAAAAATTTTAAGAAAGTAATTTCAAGCTATTGTATCAAATTATCAATCCTCTTTAAGCAATTAAAAATTTTTGAAATTCTTGGTAGCAAATGCAATTTTTTTAAAGTGTTTTCATTGATTTTTTTTTTAGAGAGAGAGGAAGTGAGAGGGAGAGAGAGAAACATCAACCGGCTGCCTCCTGCACGCCCCATCCTGGGGATCGAGCCCACAACCCGAGTATGTGCCCTGACCAGGACTCGAACCCTCCACCTTTTGGTGCACAGGACGCTGCCCAACCAACTGAGCCACACCAGCCAGGGCTAGCAAATACTATTAATCCACATACATGACTGTGCACACACACACACAACCAGAAATTATCCATAGCACCCAAAATTAAAAACAAGTGTAATATCTGAGACATCAGCCTGCAAGGAATAAATGCCTGCTAACCTGAGACAGAATGCGGGATAGAAAGAACTTGCATTTTAACCCAGAAAAATCCTTCTGCTACACCAATATCAACCTACAGTTTCTTTTCTCTCTTTAAAAAATAACTTATTTCCATCTGACCGAGCAAAATTGATGGAATCGCCAATTAAAGCCCCACACAATTATTTTGCCTATTTATTTCTATTTAACAAGCCCGACAGTTACTTTTAAGGAAACATTATGAAATATTCTCCAATTAAGTAAAGAATTATTTAAGAGATAAATATTCTCCACGGGCTCTCTCAGCGTGTGCATTGGGTTGACCTCACGAGACTGTTTGGCACAATCCTAATTTTTACAAATGAGAGAGAAGGCAGGGATCCTAAGGAACAAATTAATCACCAAGGGATCGGTGCTTCAGTCCATTGAGAGCTCATCTCTCATATTGGTGAAGTGCCTTTTACTACTATAAAATGCACACGTCTGCCCTGGCTGGTGTGGCTCAGTGGTTAGAGTGCCGCCCCTCTCCCTGAAGGGTTGCAGGCCCCATCCCTGGCCCTGGTCGGGGGGCGTGCACGAGGCAACCGATCGATGTGTTTCTCTCTCATCAATGTTTCTCTCTCCCTCCCTCCCTTATAGAAAAATGTCCTCAGATGAAGTTTAACAAAAAAATAAAATACAGGTGCCTGCGAGATTTCTGCAGGGCAATTCCTCCCACTGGGCCCGACGGCTGATCACCCTGCGGACGGTCACCACGGGGCAGGGAAGCCACTCACGCCAGGTGTGCTGCGGCTCACACCTGGTCCTTCAGGTGGACGGACACCCGCTGCAGTCACGATGCAAGGGCTGGACTTCGGACCATTGGAAGTCCTGCGGAAGGTGACCCCGCCCCAGGACACCAGCACCTGACTGCGCTCGGGACCAGCCAGCTGTCCCAAACACCATAAAATACAAAAATGACGTGGATTTGTATTTCAAGTTAATAACATTTTATTTACAAAAATAGGCTGGAAGGGACAGGGCTTACGGTCCCATATTCTTTCCGGGGCGGGGGGGCTATTTTGCGCCCTGGTCTAGGTTGATTTCCCTAACGATGTCTGACGTCAAAGGGAAGCTCCTTCGGACATGTGCCTGTCCTTAGAAGCTCAGGCGGAACGAGGGGGATGCGAGGGAGGAGGGGCACCGACAGGTGGTTCTCGGAGCTGGCGCTGGGGTTCCTCATGCACTCGGGACGCAAGCCCACCCCTCGACACCCACGCCGCCCGCTGCGCCTGCAGGAGCCGAGGTCGTCTCTGGGCTCGAAGGACACTTGCTCGCCGAGGTGACACGGCCGGGTGACGGGGGCGAGGCCGGCACTAGGACATGACCCCGAAGACGGGGTTGTGGCGGCAGATGCGGGGGCCACACTCCTCGTAGTCCTTCTTGGTGGGGCAGACCTGGAAGAACTCGGGCTGCGAGGAAACAGCCAGGACGTGAGCCCCGGGAGGAAGGAAACAGCAGGCCCCCCAGCCCTCCCCAGACCAGCGCGCACCCCCCGACCTCCCCCGGGGCCCGAGCAGCTACGTGGGGTTCGCTTCATTGTCAAATGTCTACTCAGCCTGCCCGGCCGGCGTGGCTCAGCGGTTGAGCACCGACCCATGAACCAGGAGATCGCAGTTCGATTCCCGGTCAGGGCGCAGGCCTGGGCTTCAGGCTGGATCCCCAGCAAGGGGCGTGTGGGAGGCAGCCGATCAATGACTCTCATCAATGATTCTCTCTCCCTCTCCCTTCCTCTCTGTGAAATCAATAAACACATATTTGAAAAAAATACACACACACACACATCTACTCAGCCTCCCTTTGGGATCAACTCTGCGCCTGCCCTAGATCAGCAACTGGTCACCTACCCGCACGGCTCAGGGGGAAAACTAATAATTATGGAAAAGCTCCTGGAATGAACGATGCACGCAGACGTTTCGGGTGACGTTTGGACTTCACCGACCCACGCTATCCGCGCCCCTAACGAGCGAGGACACCCGGCAGCTTAGACGTTTTCCATCTCATTAAATGTGCGCCTGGCTAGGGCCACACGCACCGTCCAACCTTCAGGACGCTAAGGACGCAGAAGCCCACGCCCGGGGCCGCAGGGGGACTTACGGTGGAGGCGAGCATGGAGCCGCCGAACCACACGGCGTAGCGCTGCATGTGGTGCGTGATCACCTGCACCTCCACCGGCCGGGGCTGCGGGGGAAGGCACGTGGTCAGCCCGGGCAGTGACCTTTCCATGGACAGGCCCGGCCGCCTCCGGCCTATCCCTCTGTGGGTGTCAGCCACTCGCTGCCTCAGGAAGGAAGCTCCTGCTGCCAAGCCCCCAGCCCCCGA